TGTTCTGTTATGCATGCCCACAATGGATTCAATGCGAACAAGCAGCACAACTGGTAGCTGGAAGAAGCTCCTGCTGCTGTCCATGCACAACCGCGGCCTGTCCTAATTTCAATTCTATCTTGGCCTGTTCTTACTTTCCAATGCAATAGGCGATGGAATAAAAAAAAATGCAATAGGCGATGCATTCAGGTTTCAGTCAGCACTCAACATGGTCGCCGGCGCCCGGCGCCGAGCTGCATCTGAAAGAGTAGTCATGGTTGCCGGCGCCAAGCTGCATCTGCATACCGTTGGCATTGGCACGAGCGTACGACATGAAGGAGGCGTGTTGTTGGACCGAGAACTAATCTAACACGCAGTCGTCGCACCGAGAACACGCAGCTCTGCACGCTGGCACGCCGTGGAGGTCACCGTCACCCATGCCAGCTCCCAGATTCTGAGGACACCATGGCCGGCCCATGCGCTCACGTCGAGTTTCTCTGCACGCGACGCGACCGTGGTGACACTGGCCGTTATGGATCTTCTCGTGGCGCCATTGTTATATGCACAATAGACTGAACCCGTGATCACCGTGCAACTGAATCGGCCGCGTCATCACGTTCCGCCTCGCCGCCCCTCAGAAAGGCCCGGGCTCTCCGCCCTCTGCCACGCGGTGCCAGCAGCCGGGATGGGCGCGGACCATGTGCCACCAGCGGAAGACCCTTCTCCTGAAACGCTGTCAATACCCGCTGGCACAACGAATGCCACCGTCAGCCTCGGAAGTCGGATCCACCGGCGACCTCTAACCCCTCGGCTTGGCTCTGGCTCGGCAGCACTGCGGCAAGACGCGGCAGGTGCCAACCGCTATGCTGGGCGGCTGCGACGTGCGACGTAGGCCGGCGCGGGCAACCCCGCAGGAGCGCGGCACGGTGGCGCAAGCAAGCCCCGCCGGAAGGCAGTGCGGCGGGTCTGGAAGGCAGCGCAGGAAAGGCCATTGCGGCGCGGGAGCCCGACGAGCGCTTCCGCCTCTGCTTGCACAGGTAAAAAAACTAAATATTCTAGGGAAAATTGGATCATACCCTCCAAAGAACACGTCTTTAGACGTATACCATCAAAAGAATCACCTTATGATACTTACCATCAAAAGATCACAATGCAATAGCTATGTACCATTCTGTTTGCTTCCGTTACAAGATCGTTAATCCCTTTTCCTGTTTTCCGATCACACATTTTCAACTTCCGTTTTTGCCCTTGGGCAAACCAACACAGCCACGAGGACGGCCAGAAGCTTCGACTCGCTCCCGTGCGAGGAGTCGCGTTGCGGACCTCCAGTGCGCGGCGCTCGCCCCGTGCGAAAGAGTCGCGGCGACACGTTTCCCCGGTGGTGGCTCAAGCTCCATAGCAGCGCGCCTCATCGGCGGTGGCTTCCTCCTCAACGACGCTGCCCTCTACTCCATGGTGTGTATCCATGTATTCCTCTTCTTCCTCCCTTATTTTCCTGGTTCTAAACCCTAGTCTTTTCCCCTCTCATAGTGCTGAGCAATTGGTCCTGATTTGAGCAGAATGGATCCCGCCGGGGTTCCGGATGGGTAAGATCCTTTTTTCTGTCTTCTAAGCCTGTGTAATTTATTGTATTTTTTTTATTTAGTTCGCTGGTAGGTCACCGTCATTTGTCCTGAACTTGGAATTGCAATTTTTTTCTGTCCTGAACTTGGAATTGCTATCGATTGGTCCTTACATTTGGTCTCCCTTCCATATGTTGGTAACTATTGTTGCAGAATTGATCCGAAAAGTGCATGCAAAGTAGAGGTCACCGTCAATGCTTACTTCACTATCAAAGACGGTAGAAGGGAGTACAATCGGGGTAGGACAGTAAGTTGGATTGTTGATTCAGAAGAGTACGCAATCATTGATCTAGAGAAAGATATTGCTCCATATTTTACATGGGGCAGTGACCAAGTGGCAAATTTCTGGGTTCGATCAGGGGATAATGTGACATGCAAGTTGGCGTCCGATGCTCAGCTTCTTGACTTGCTAAGGGCATCTAGACTAGTGAAATTGTTCATGGTAGTGGGCAGACGTGAGCTGAATGTAAGAGAGGAGGAGATGTCTGTTGCAGTGAACACAGGAAAGGAAGAGATGCTTGGTGCAGTGAACACAGGAGAAGAGATGATTGCTGCAGCGAACACAGTAAAGGAAGAGATGCTTGGTGCAGTGAACACAGTAGAAGAGGATATGCCTGCTGCAGTTAACATAGGAGTGGAGGTACTTCAAAAATGACGATCATGTAGTCATTGATCCAGTTGAAGTAGACATGCATCAAAGAAAGAGGGCTAGGTCTGTTCCAGAAATTAGAGACTTTGATAGTGAAGTTGTACCTGATGATGAGGCAACTATGCTTGATGATTTTCTGGCGCCTCACACATCACATGATAAAGAGAATCCAATCATTAAGGAGGGAGACACGTTTGTAGACAAGAATGCTTTTGTCCACACTATTAGGCAATATGCCATCAAAAATGAGTTTGAAACTATGATTGAACATAGTGACACAAAAAGGTACAGGGCAAGGTGTGCAGATCAAAATTGTAATTGGAGAGTGTTTGCAAAGAAACTACATGGTGGCAACACATTCATGGTGATCAAACTCTCAGGATTGGATGTCCACACTTGTCCCAGTACAAGCAAGATGAAGGGTCGAGAGGCTTCCATAGCTTGAGTATCTGAAAAGGTGAAAGATGTTGTAAAGGAGGATCCCACTATAAGTGCAAAGAAATTACAGAGAAGATTGGAGAAACACTACAACATTGAATTGTCATATTTTAAAGTATGGTATGGAAAGAAGTCTGCATTGGAGGATCTTCATGGTACTTGGGAGGAGAGCTTTCAAATGTTATGGAGATTCAAAGCAGCACTAGAAGATTGTTGCCCAGGAAGCATTGTTGAGATTGATTGCAAGAAAATTAATGGAGAAATGTACTTCTCTAGGATGTTTGTTGCAATTAGAGCATGTATTGATGGATTTATGGCTGGGTGCAGGCCTTGCCTTGGGGTTGATTCCACTCACCTTATTGGAAAATATAAAGGCCAGTTAGCTACAGCAACTGCAATTGATGGGCACAACTGGATGTATCCAGTTGCATATGGGATATTTGGCAAAGAGACAAATTCCAACTGGGCATGGTTCATGGCACAGCTGAAAAGAGCAGTTGGGACCCCCCCTGGATTAACAATTCACACTGATGCTTGTAAGGGATTAGCATATGCAGTCAAGAAGATCATGGAGAAGATTTACACAAGGCAAGTGATAGCCAATAGAATGGAGGGTGTATCCTGCCAAGTGTGTTACATGAGTTGAACATGAAGAGCCGAGGACTCCACTATGAAATCCAGAAGAGTGGTGCAATGTCAGGTGAGATATCAGGAATAACAAAAGAAGGGAATAATTGGAGAGTTGCTGTTGACATCCAGAAAAGAACCTGTGGATGTGGACAATGGCAGATTTCTGGAAAACCATGCACTCATGCAATAGCTCTATTTGGGAAAGTTAGACAACTTAACATTGAGAACTTTGTGGATGACTACTATTCAGTAGAGAGGTTCAAGGCAGCTTATCAATTTGTGATCACTCTAATGGGTGACAAGACACAATGGCCAAATTTTGACCCTGGGTTTAAAATGATTCCTCCAAAGCTAGAACGGCCTGCTGGTAGACCAAGGAAGAAAAGAATCAAGGCTAGTGGAGAAGCAGGAAAAAAAGGCCCATATCGATGCAAAAGGTGCTTTCAGTTTGGACATATAGAGAAGAGTTGTACTGCTACTCAAGCTGAATTAGAACAAGAGCTTCCACCACCTCGTCCAAAAAAACCAAAAAAGCAAAGGTATTGTAAATAATAAATCATGCCTTATGTGTAATGTATTTTGTTCCCTGTCTAATCCATGTTGCGCCTCCTAGAAATTCCAAATCTGAAGTTGTCGAAGTCTCCACTGTTGATGCTGAACCATCACAAACTGCTGTTGATCCAAAAGTGATGTCCAGTCCAGGTGTAACAACAAGAAGCATGTCTTCTCTTTCTCCGATCAGCCCAGGTCCTACAACAAGAAGGATGGTGTCTATCTCACCTGGAGGAATTAATCGTAGGCTCATTATTAGCTAGAAACATTACCTTTTCAACTCTAATCTGTGTGTGAGCATGGCTAGGCAAGTGTGGTCTTTTGTCCAACTCTATGTGTGTAAATATGGTGCCGCTATGCAACACTATTTCATATTATGGTATTCAGCTGTGAACTTGCAAACTATCAGCCATTATGGTACTGGAATGGAACCAAAATCATGATATATAATGCTCAAAAGTTGTGTTATATGTTGATGAGATATTATGTTATATCATAGTGAAATAGTGTTTTACATGTTCTCTTATATCCTGTTATAATGCTGCTGAAATTGGGGCTGGAGTGCAGCTACATTATTGCTGGAGGCCAGTTAGAGTGCAGCCATGTAAATGTTACAAGCAAGGGTAAACTTGTCACAATTAACGTCTGTTAATGCGTGGTTCACAGAAATGGTAAGGAGCTAGAAAGTTACATTTTTTTTTATGGTAAGTATCATAAGGTGATTCTTTGGATGGTATACACCTAAAGACATGTTTTTTTTGATGGTATGGATCCAATTTTCCCAATATTCTATGCTTGGATTTGGATGCACAGGTATATCTGTTGGGCGGTAGATGCATTTGGGAAACTTGCTTCACAGCAAAGTGACCGAGTCCGCGTCCGGAGCGAATTGAGGATAGTATGTGGATTCGCATCGGCCTCGGTTGCCTCGCCCCCACCCCTATATATATCCGCTGGCACCGCCTGTCTCCTCCCACCCCACCCCCGCTTGGCCACCGCCTCCCTGCCGCCGGCCGTTGGTTCCGCCGTCTCTCTGAACCTACACCGCTACATCGTGCATCCAGCAATATCGAAGATTTGCAGGCACAAAGTCAAGGTTTTTCGGAGATAGAATAGATCTGCCTCCGGACATGGAAGTTGGTGCTCAACGTGAAGCGACACAGCCGATGCTCGTCGTGCAGGAGGAGACGCCGCCGGTGGTCGGCGTTCGGGCCAAAGATACAGAACACGAGACAGAGGCGGCGGCAGTGGAACTGGTAGTTACCCAGTCGGAGGTGTTGGCTCCGGAGGGGCGCATGGACTACGACAAGCTGGTTGACCTGTTTGGGTGCCAGCGCATCGACGCCGCGCTCGTTCACCGCATCGCGCGCCTCACATCCCGCCCGCCGCATCGCTTCCTTCGGCGCGGAGTCTTCTTCGCCCACCGGGATTTCAACAGCGTACTGGATCTCCACGAGGCAGGGGAGAAGTTTTACCTGTTCACGGGGATGGAACCCTCATCAGAGGCGTTGCACCTTAGCCATCTCATCCCCTTCATGTTCACAAAGTATTTGCAGGATGCTTTCAAGGTGCCCGTAGTGATACAGCTATGTGACGATGCAAGTTTTCTGCGGAACAACAACTTGACTGTTGCTGAATGCAAAAGGCTTGCCCGTGAAAATGCAAAAGACATCATAGCTTGTGGATTTGATATTCAGAGAACTTTCATCTTCACAAATATCAGTTATACCAGAGGGGCATTTTATGAAAATATCCTTGAAGTTGCCAAACGTGTGACATGTGAGGATTCTATTGGGATAATTGGAGGTAGTCAAGAAGATAACATTGGCATTGTTGGCTTTCCTCCTGTGGAGGCTGCTCCATCGCTCCCTTCCTCATTTCCCCATCTCTTTCCTCGCAATGACCAACCGCGGTGTCTTATACCGTGTGCAATATACAGGGATCCTTTTTTTAGGATGATCCGTGATGTTGCTCCAAAAATTGGTTTTCAGAAACCTTCACTGATTGAATCGAAAATTTTGCCTGCACTTCAGGGGGAGGAGAGCTCTAAAATGTCGGCCAGTAACCCAAATTCTGCAATATATGTGACAGATAGTCCTAAACAAATAAAGACAATGGTGAATAAATATGCTTTCTCAGGTGGCCAGAGCTCTGTGGAGCTTCACAGGAAACTTGGTGCTAACCTTGACGTGGATGTCCCAATCAAATACCTAGAATTCTTCCTAGAAGACGACGATGAGTTTGAGCACATAAAGAAGGAGTACAAGGATGGAAGGATGCTGACAGGCGAAGTGAAACAACGCCTCATTGCCGCCATATCTGAGATGGTTTCTAGACACCAGAGAGCTAGAGCTCAAGTCACTGAGGAGATGGTTGATGCATTCATGGAATTAAGGCCTCTTCCAAACATGTTTGGCTGAGCAAGACAAGAAGGGCTGAACATTTTTGTCGATCTTTTATGCCATACTGAGGTGGCCGGATGATTTATTAAATATTTAAATATGTAGGCAGTGGTGTCAATTTGAAATCAATTTAATGAAATGAATCCATGCTGATTTTGTTGAACTTTTAAACAGTGTCTTGAATGCCATTGTAATATTGCGGGTGGCCTGCGTCGTTATTGGAATACAAGTTGAAGTCACCCTTGGATACATGACTTTGTTTAGTTATTAGATCGCTAGTAGCTGTTTCTTGATGTAGGATTGTAGTACCACAGGGACTATTTCATTGCATTGTAGCGGCTTAGCTGATTGATGTAATGTTATGAAGCAACCTAATTCATTGTTGCTTCCTTGCCATTTATTTGTTTGACCAATCTTTGTAGCAGGAATTGATTAGTGCAATATTTGTTCAATGGAATAGAATGTCGACTTTGTTTTATAAAATGTCTCTTCTTATCTATTCCCAGTACGGGCTTTACACTGCAGCTCCTGTCAGGACAGTTGATTTTAGCCTCGAGGAAATGCTCTGACAGAGCTTCACCTCAATAGCCAACGGTAAAGCTAAAGGTATGGAAATTGTGAGTTACTATTCCTTATCTTTTCTGGCCTTAAATTAAACAAAATTTTAGTACAACTGCTGTTTGAGTTACAGGTCTGAATCTTCTGCATGGTGTTGTGCCTCCTTTGATCCACAGGGATGGCGAGTACGATTTTCAATTGAAATGGGTCGGAGAAGCAGATGCGATAGTACTACAGAGCTGGAGCTAATGTCGTAGTGTGCTTTGACTGACGGGAAGCATCGTTGCAGACGATACTGATGCTCTCTTGCTGCCCCAGTCGGGAAAACAGGTGGACATTCAGCAGAGATAAAAGAACTAATTAAGGAAGCAATTACCGATCCCTCATCGGGACATTGTTGGGTCAAGCTATATTCAGCTCCAATGGCTTTCAGCAGAGATCACAAAGACAATTTATTAGCTTATATATAAGATAGGATTAAGTCCACTTTGGCCCCTTAACTATTGTGTTGGTCTAATTTTAACCCTCAACTACAAAACCGTCTAGTCCCGGTACCATAGATATCAAAACCGTTCACTTTTAGCACCTGGACGGAGACAAGGCTGTTTTGACTCACAGTTGAGCGGTTTTGACATGTGGGGCCCACACGTCACCCACTCAGTCCCTCCCTCTCCTTCCTCCAGCTCCAGGAGCCGACGTACACGGCCGCCACGGCGCTGTCGCCCTCCCGCAGCACGCGCTCCATGGTGTGCCACGTGTCCCCGTCCAGGCGGCTCTTTTGTTCTTCCCCTGCTTCGTCCCGCGCCGCCACACCTTGACCGTGCCGTCGGCGGAGCCCGTGAGCACGAGCGCGTCGAAGGCCGCGGCGGCGACGGCGTTAACGGCGTCGGTGTGGGCGTACACGGACTTGAGGCACTTGGAGTCGGACACCCGCCACACCGCGACCTGGCGCTGTCGCTGCGGTGCGGACTCCGCGACGCGGCCGTGGGGTTCTCGTTCCTGCGCCTGCGCGGCCTCCATCCGCGTCGTACGTAGCCTATACGAGGACGAGAACAGGACGTACGTACGGCGCATGGCTTTGGCCCACCGGCCAGCTGCTGCTGTTACGAGCTACCTACGACGCAGTTTGATCATAGGCTATCAAGAAGCACGCTGATGCATAGGCTAGCAAGAAGCACGCTGATGCATGGGCTAACAAGAAGCAAGCTGATGCAAGCGGTTCTCGCCGTGGTCTGACTGCCCGTGCCCAGCGCCGTGCCGCCGTCAGGTACAGCGCCAGGCACAGCACGCCCAGCTGCGCAGCCGACGCTCGCGCACTCCACGGCGTTGGCCGAGCATGCATGGCCTCGGACGCACTACGTAAAATACGTTTCGTAGCAACGGGAGAATTTTTTTTAGAGCGGCGGGTGATGGAGCCGCCCCTACAATAACGTGCTGAGGAGCCCAGAGAACAGCTGCCTCTATAAATAGAACAGCAGGGCGGCTGGTGATACGAGCCGCCCTTATAAATGAGTCTGATTTGTAGGGGCGGCTCAATCAGTAGCCGCCCCCGGTATTGCTATTTGTAGGGGCGGCTCAATCAGCAGCCGCCCCTACGAATCGTCCGATCTATAAAATAACACCAAAACCCTAATCCCACACCGACGCTTCCCAGCAGATCGGGCCATCTCCTATCAGCAGCCGCCTCCCGTCCCCTCCCCTCTCAGCCACTCCTCTTAGCAGCCGCCTCCCGTCCCCTCCCCTCTCGTCTTCCTCATCTCCCCCACGGGACAGATCCAGCGAAGGATCCGGCGCTCCTCGTTCGTGCGCCCCTCATGGTCGTAGATCGGGCCATCTCCTATCGCCGCTGGCTTGTGGAGGCTGCGAGTCGCCATGGCCGGCCTCGGTCGTCTTCGACCAAGTCCCGTTCCTGGGGCCAGCCTCCACTCCGTTCCTCGTCAAGTCCAAGCCGGATGGACACGGGGCGTGACCCTAATCTGACCCTCGCCGCCGGCCTCCCGCACTCGCCCTCTCTTCCCCGAGGCTCGTTGGACGGCTGGGCATGGGAGGCAACTGCTGGGGCGGCGACCGCGCATGCTAAAGGCTAGCAGGAGGCCACACGCGGTGGCTACTGTGCGGATCAGCCTGGCAGGATGCGGTAGCACCGCCGCGCTGGATCGTGGCGGTAGGCGGCGGCGGCCGTGCTGGCTTGTGCCGGGAGGCAACGGCAGCCACACAGGCTCGGGCCCAAGAGGAGGTGCCGCATCTGCACTTCGTCTCTGGAGATCCCGACCCATTGACTGCTCATCCGTGCGCTTTGTCTCTGGAGGTATGCGTGTACTTATGCATCTTGATTCGTTAATCAATTAATTGTAGATAGTTGGGTGAGGAATCTCACTGCCCTGTGCAAACATGCAGTACATACATAGAAATTTTTGCTATATAAGTATCTTAGTTAGTCATACAAACCTACATGTTTCTATTTACATTGAAAATCGACAGGATATCTTACATGTATACATGTATATAGAGTGCTAGTGCCAGAGGTAACATGTTCTTGCTATGTAAACAGACTTACAGAGTGGTAGTGTATAATTTGAACTTGTTTTCTTCAACATGTTTTTCTGTTGTCTTTACAGAACATGTATACAGAGTGCTAGTGCTCGATTATTCATAACATGCTCTGGCTAAGCACTTGGCCCTTATCAAGTAATTTTAGCAATGCCATTTCTTTCAGTGTATGTGTGAGTAGCACTATTGTTTCTGTTTCTTTTATTATTTTGGATTGGAATATGTTCCTCTTTATTGAAGTATTTCTTTCTGTGTAACTAAAATTTGTTTTTTTGCAGGCGCAACTGTCTAAAATTCAGAAATTCAATATTCAAGTTGAACGACACCGCGCTACATGTAAGCTCTGCTTCCCCGCAAACTCTCCCAAATGAAAATAGAAGCTGTTGAAGAGCGAATGGAGAAGGCACTAGCAGAATCTGATAAAATAGAAGCTGAAAGCAAGGATGCTGATGCAGAAGATAACAAGGCAAGGAACTCTTTTATTAAATACTTATGACCTCATTGTTAGGTTTGAGTATCATCATGTGGAACACAGATTAAACTGCTCGTCAATATCACACGACGGATCGCTGGTTGTTGGTGGGTTTTCTGATTCGTCAGTGAAGGTCAGTCCATTCAGGTCAAATATCGTATCTTCTTTTTCATGCTATTTGTATTTTTAGTTGGTAAAATGTCTTTGGTTTCCAACAGGTCTGGGATATGTCAAAGATTGGCCAACCAGCAAAAATGTGTAAGTTAGACACTTTCTTATTCCTTACCAATTCTCACTCTGTATCTTCATATTCTTAATGTTTGCTATGCTGAACTACATGCATAATTTTGCATCTAGTTTAGGCCAAGGTCATGTTTGACATAATGTTTTAAAAATTTAATCAGCTTATGTTAAAAACACAAAGTGCAATATATCATCTTAAAGTCAAAGTTGATTGTGTTTTTCAATTCTCGACTACACCCTCCGTTCCAAATTATGCAACAAGGATATCCTGTTATTTATGCAAAAAATCAATGGACATGGTTTGGAACTTGAACAGGTTTGCTGAAACAACTTTCATTTTCATATTTGTCTTCAGTGATGTATTACTTGTTGGTTTTTCAATTTCTATTTTATTTAGCTATATGATGTATCTGACCAGGTCACTTGGTCGTTATTTCTTGTTTCTAGGACCTCTATTTTCTTGGTTTGTTTAGACCATCAAATAGTTTCTTATAGTCAGATAACATGGAACCTGTTTTTCATATTGACTTCAAAATAATATTAATATTATGATGATAATATTAATGTTTCTTTCCTTTGCCTTAGTTTTCATACATCATCTGTCTGTATGTATAGCACAGAGTGAAGCCATTAAGATTTTTACATCCGGATTGTCAGTTGTTTGACCTTGAAAGTTGAAACAGTTTTGTTACCTTGCCATATTGTCTGTGATGTCATTTCTTAGAAGAAAGCCAATCTTTACAGTTTACAACATGAACCAGCAAAATGCACCTGCTTGTCCATCTCAGTGCTTATGTTATGCTGAAAGGTTGTTGCTAAGTCATTTGTCCCCTTACAGGCACAGTTTCTATCCGATGGATCCTCTGGTCCTGGCATGTGGATTGTTCCTGTAACATCATGATGTGGCTCATATGATGCACAGAAAAAGTTCTTATTGAAAGATAAAACGGATAAGATAAATATTGAAGAATTTGCTGCCTCTCAAAGTGCAGATGGGGAGAAGAATCAAAACATTTGGGTCAAATTGAATATTGATCAAACTAGATTTTATAGAGTGAAGTATGATGATGAACTTGCAGCTGGACTTGTAAATGCAATCAAAGCAAAGAAGCTCTCATTAATGGATAAGATTGGTAAAGATAAGAAAAATTTAGCGTTATTGTATACTTTTTCAAGGTTTTTGACAAGATGTCAC